ATCTTTTTTAATGTACTTCACTTTATGTTTATATGTTTTAATGATACTATATATGCTTAATTTACAGGAAACAAAAGCCAAATCTAATGAAATTGAAGGAGAAGACCCATCAGAACATGAAATAGAGGCAAAATCTCATGAAATTGAACGAGATGAACTGTCCAAACATGAAAAGTGTGAAGGAATTTATTTCCCCATTCAAATGCTCCAAGTCCGGGTATGGCCTTTAGCTCTGAAAAAGAGGTTTATAATTTTTTCATTTCTTATGCTAAGAAAAAAGGATTTGGTGTAACTAAGAAAAGCGTGAAGAAGGTAGATGATGGCCAACTAAAGTATTATTCACTCACCTGCTCCAAATTTGGTAAGAGTAGAAGTAATGCGAAAAGAAGTTTCAATCCCAAGCCATCAAGTAAGACTGGATGCAAGGCTAAAATTAATGTGATGGTCAATGATGAAGGGAGTTTTATTATCTCTAGAGCTAATTTGGAGCATAACCATGGACTTAGCCCAAGTAAATCACAATTCTTTAGATGCAACAAGGCGATGGATTCACATGTTAAAAAAAGACTTGAAGTGAACGATGAAGCTGGGATTTCATTGAGTAAAAATTTTCAGTCACTAGTTGTTGAAGCTGGAGGGTATGAAAACTTGCCATTTACAGAGAGAGACTGTCGAAATTATATTGCCAAAGCAAGAAAACTTAGGCTCGGGGCTGGTGATGCAGAAGCACTTTGTGATTATTTTTTTCGCATGCAACAAAGAAATCCAAGTTTCTTTTATATTATTGATATGGATGAAGAAGGACGGTTAAGAAATGTCTTCTGGGCTGATCCAAGGTCAATTGTAGCATATGAATCATTTGGGGATGTTATATCATTTGACACCACATATCTAACTAACAGATATAATATGCCATTTGCACCATTTGTTGGTGTGAATCAGCATGGACAGACCATGCTACTTGGGTGTGGTTTGCTATCAAATGAAGATATAAAGACTTATATTTGGTTGTTTAGCTCGTGGTTAAATTGTATGTCAGGTCATTATCCGAAAGCAATTATTACAGATCAGTGTAAAGCTATCAAGGCTGCAGTTGCAGAAGTTTTTCCTCATTCTCGTCATCGATTTTGTCTTTGGCATATTATGAGAAAGATTCCAAAAAAACTAGGAGGGTTGGCTAAATACAAGGAAGTGAAGAAAATTTTGAAAAGTGCTGTTTATGAGTCTGTGAAAGTTTATGAATTTGAACAAACATGGGGTAAAATGATTAAGGATTTCAATCTTGAAAGGAATGAGTGGCTGAATTCATTATATGATGTTCGATCTTATTGGGTCCCAGCATACATTAAAAATACTTTTTGGGCTGGAATGTCCACCACTCAACGAAGTGAGAGTGTGAATGCTTTCTTTGATGGTTATGTTGGTGCACAAACATCTTTAAAGCAATTTGTAGAGCAATATGATAATGCTTTGAAAAGTAAGATTGAAAATGAGAATAAGGCAGATTTTGCTTCTTATAATTCTAGTATTCCAATGATAACTCGTTTCTTTTTTGAGAAGCAATTTCAGGAGGCTTATACAAATGAAAATTTTAAAATGTTTCAAGAAGAGATACAAGACATGATGTACTGTAATTTAGATTTTGATTCAGTTGATGGGTCAATATCAAAATTCCGAGTGAAAGACTATTTTAGAGGAAAAGATGGCAGATTTAAACAGCAGGTGGTTTACGATGTTTGCTTCAATGAGGTTGAATGTGATATTAAGTGTTCTTGTTGCATGTTTGAGTTCAAGGGGATTCTCTGTAGACATGTGGTGAAAGTGCTTATTGAGAAAAATGTGAAAGAGGTTCCACATCGATATATTTTAGATCGTTGGAGGAAGGATATCAAGCGTAGACACACTTTCATTAAGTCTTGTTGTGATGATTTTGATTCTAGTGAGAAAAAATTGAGATACACCAAGTTGTGTTCTAAGTTCTACAAAGTTGCTGTTGTTGGAGTTGAATCCAAAGAAAATTATGAATTTTTACTTAATTGTATTGATGATGCATTGGACAGAATTATGAAGCGTCCAAATTCTAAAGGAATTGATCTTAATCATGTATCCATGGAGCCTAGGATGGAGACTAATGAAGGACATCAAGAAATTTCAACAATCCCTGCTAGATTGCTTTCTCCTTTGAAAGCACGAGCAAAAGGTCGCCCTCCATCAAAAAGAAAACAATCTACTATAGAAAAAATAGTAGAGAAGAAAAAAAGAAGTAAGAAAAAGGTATGCACTGGTCAGATTTTGCTAGACTTTATAATTTACATAAAAATAAGAGCTTGATTGTTAATTTCTTAACATTTTTAACTATTTCAGGTGAATCCAAATTATAACGGAGTAATAAATGATTTTGATCTCAATTTGGATCTTTCACAGGTTATATTCATTCTTA